AGTGATTAGCTGCTCCAAAGCGTCCTGACATTCGCTGGTCCACTTGACTGGTTCACGTGATGACTGTTGGCCTCTTTGCTTAGCCGTTTATCCGCTCGCCCTTCGTGTCCTGGCTGGATGTCCTTGCTCGTTTGGTCCCTTAAGGAGGTCGTACAGGGGCTTTGAAATCCTGCAAAAATTGTTAATGTAACTCCTGTAATAGCTTAACAATCCAGTCAGTTTGCAGACTTCTCCCACGGTCCTCGGCCGGGATTCTTTCAAGCTTGTGGCAGCTTTGGTACCCTCTGGGTCTATCCTGTGACCACTCTGGCTTACTATCCTTCCAAGATAACAGACTTCCCGCTGGAACAGGTGACATTTGCTGGGTTTCAGCTTGATTCCATGTTTGCGAAGACGTCTTAACACTGTTCGTAAATTCTCCATATGTTCCACGAATGTCTTGCTATACACAATTATGTCATCCAAGTAGGGTATGCATATCTCGTCTCGAATCCCCTCTAAGCAATCCTCCATGTACCGTTGAAATTGGGCTGGTGCATTGGAAAGTCCGAATGGTATACGAGTCCATTCATACAAGCCCCAAGGTGTGATGAAGGCTGTAAGGTGTCTGCTTCCTTTCTCAATGAAGCCTTGATGATACGCATTCCCTTGGTCTAAAACTGAGAGCCATGAGCTTACTCCAAGGTTGTCAATTGTCTCTTGAATCCTTGGGATTGCATGACGGTCTCGCACTGTTTTACGGTTGAGCTCCCTGTAGTCAATACATAGGCGCAATCCCCCGTCCTTCTTCCTAACGCAGACAACTGGTGAGGCATAGGACGACTGAGACTTAGTTATCCATCCTCGGTTCAGCAAATTTTCTACATAATGCTTGACTTCAGTGTACAATGGGCGAGGTACCGAAGTATAAGTCTTCTGAACTGGCGTAGGGTCTGATAATGTCAGAATCATCTGCAGTCATATTATACTCCCCACATCTTCGTCGTCTTTGGCATATGACTCCGCCTCCTCTTGCAGCACGATGATGGCCAATTCTCGCTGCTCTTTAGTCAAAACGCCCAGTTCCACTTGTGACGTCCTTACCGAGTGAGAGGTTTCCTCTTTACGAGGTCGTGGCACTGCGAGTGGGGTAGACGACTGAGCACCTGAAGTTAACTGAAATTGCACTTCTACTCATCCATCAAACGGTATCGGTCCACCATTAGCTCCAATCATATTCAGTTCCGCTTCCTCTCAAAGCAACAATGCAATATTCATTGGCTTTAAGGAGGGCAGATATTCTCCAAGCCCACTTTTCGACGCAATGGATACCTGTGCATCTGTGTCCCAAAGGACCTCGACTGGTACTCCATTCAACACACACGAAACCTTGCACTTTTTGCCCACAAGGTTAGCTACTGCTACATGTTGCTCGGGTGTTAACTGGCTGGCAAATACATACCCATCTCCACGTTCCACTCGCAAGCGTTTCTTTGTTTCTAGATGTTCATTCACCCGACAAAGTCTCTTGTGACTGCTCCAGTGAAGTTTCTGACATCTCTGTCCACAATACCGAACCGCTTTGCACCCTGAACACTGCTTGAAAACTTGATCCTTCGCCGCACTTCTTTGACAACAAACGCATATCTGGGACTTAGAGTTTTCATAAGAGTGGGCTACTTCCTGTCCCATGGTTGTAGCCCACGCCTGTTTCCCGAACCTGTTTTATCGCCACCATTATTCTTCCTCCGACAACCACGAGCCCAATGATCGCCACTACCACAGATGTGAAAATGGTCGCACGACTCGCCTATACCTTTTGCTTGACAACTAGGACAGCTTAGGGGTCGACGGTACCATTGATGGTTCTGAGATCCTGCTGGGGTACTGGTCAATCGCTCGTCTTTAGCTTGATTCTTCTCAATAGACTCTTTCAAGGTGGTAATTTCAGAATGGACTGCCTGTAGTGCAGCCATAATATTATCCTCCTTAGTATTGCCTGTCTCGGTACGTTTTAACTTCTAATCAGATGTTGTAGACTAGACAGCCCCTCTCCCTGTCTGTGATGCATGCACCTCATTAACTTTTCGATTCTTATGGCGAGTAGAAGATTCTAATTTTGACTTTCTCTCAGTTTCTTACAAAACAATTTCGCTCATTTGCTGAATAAGATCGTCATCCTGTACATTTTGGTTTTGGAGGGATGGCCTCAATCTGGTCCGGATGGCTTCATTTTGAAGACCAGTGTCCACTGCGTGGAGAAACATACCCTGGACCAATGCTGGGTCATACTTTAATTGTGTGTCTGCCTCCTTTGAAGCAAACAGGATCTTCTGACTGGTATCTAGGGCCCTGATGAGGAAACTCTGAGAACCCTCCTGGGGCTCTTGAACTAATGTACAAAGCTGACGATAAAGTTCTGTAGCCGTCGTCGTCGTCGTCGTCGTCGTCGTCGTTGGCTCCCCTTCTGTATAGAAGATAGGTGTCCATTTCACATCATTGACTGATGGTGAGTTCTGTAATGGCTGTAAACGCCAATATGAGCCTTGAACTGTCTATCACACTCTGGACAACACAGGCCTGGTGGTAATTCTGTCCGTGGCTAGTCTTGGCTTTCTTTCTTCCTTTCCCTCTTCAGCCTTATGCCTTCTGAACGCCTTTCCTCAAACTTTTCGACTCCATCTCTTATTGCTTTCCTACAAATAGTTCTGTTCATAGCCAGAAGCACTCTTTTCCTGATAGTGGGATCTCAGTATACGTCTTAAACGAGGAAGAGTCAAACTTTCCAGACCTTCTAAATAACTTCTTAATCTCATCCCAGGGTTAATAGACCTGTCTACGGCGTCCAATACTTCTGAGGGCTTTTAGCCCTTTTGCAAAGCACCCTCAATTTGTCTCACTAAGCTGACAAAATTCAGTTTGTCCTTTTGCCCCGGCATCCCAATCTGACCGATAATTTTCAACTCTCTCTTGAAATCATTCGGTTGAAAATACAATGGTTATACATCTTCAAGTTTAGGCTTACCCTCTCCAAGCAGCGGTTGAGAAATTCCAGGCTTCGCTTTCTTGTCAACTACTTCCAAAGGAGGGCAAACACGCGTATATTCCATTATTTGTAACTTAAATTCCTCCAGGTGTTCTATTTCAGCTGCCTTGGTGCCTTTCAATCTGTCCTCGAGCTGTTCTTCAATCAACCTTACAAGTCCCTTTCTGCTCTTTTCCTTCGTGTCCTCATCACTGCATCCCAGAGTTTTAGCGATCTCCTCCATGTCCTTAACTCCCAACTGGCAGAGATAACTCTGTATCTGCATCTGGACATCCTCAATTTCCATTCTTTATGTTCCTATAGGGCTTGTTTCCTTCGATCGCTTTACTTTCGTCCTGCGACTTCTTTCACTCCAATCCGCCGACCATTACGTAAAGATGTTACTTCGACTTTTACGTTTAGTTTACTCCCGGACAGGCCCCCAAATGTTACCGGCCGCGGAAGGAGAGGTCGAAATCATTTACATTGAAAGCAAACATACAAGCAATATGGTGGACCAAAACGAACCTCGTGCGTTTATTTATTCTTTTTGCCATGGCAACTCTTGACAAATACGTTTACATGGGGGGAGGGGGGTGTCCGTTTTCTCAACTTATCCTAAACAGCATTAGGTGATGACTTCCCCTTTATGCATTATTAGATGTTGACAGTTCGAATACAGGCCGTATTGTACTGATGGATTCTTCTAAACAAGGTTTAAATTCAAAGGTATATATTCAAGGTATTTATATTAAACGCGAAAAGGTGTCGAGTAACTGACGATCTCTCAATTCTAACTGTAGACGGCTGGTCTTAATGGTAGCTGCTTTGATAGCTCCCAATGTGTGGTTAATAATTATTTAAGGTAGAGTATTAATTTGTAATAGTTCGGAGCTTTTTTACAATTAAACTATTAAACAAATTGGAAATATTGCATTTGTTTAATCTTCTGCAATGGTTCCGGTTGAAAAAAAGTGGCGGCCTAATGGTCATGGCGCCCTAGACACCATACAGGTGTGTAAATGGATGGAGGCGAATTTAAAACGGGGAGTAACCATGTGATGAACTAGCATCCCATCCAGGGGGAAGGGAGAGTACAAATATTTCGCCGCTTAGGCTGTATGGGCTACTGGCCTGACGCAGACTTCTTTTAATTCTAATACGTTTATCTCCATGAACAGTGCCGGTAAGTGTTTTTTTTGGGACCCTCAGAGAAAAATTTCGTATTAAATTATTTAATGAAGTTATGAATTTAACATTAATTTTAAGTCATCGATATTCTTATCTATTTATTAATTTACTTTTATCTTTTTAAAATTTATTATTTTTCAGTCATTCCGGGAATTCCAGGTATTCCGGGTATTCCGAATGTTCCGGTACCGGTTCCGGTTTCAAATTCTGGCATTCCATGGTTTCTAAGCTACCTCTTTCCTCGTAAGTTTTGACAAAGATGGCCGACAACTCTCGAAACTGTCAGCATTTGAGCATGCAAAAAAAACTACCGGCTGCAGTGAAAAAAATTACATAATAAAGTTTGAGCTAACTCCAGCCTACTAACATTCTGCAAAACTCTAGCTATATAGCTCAAACTAATAGGGATGTGTTCCTCTTTTAGGATTCTTAAAAATGAGGAACAATTGTAAACTGTGAATAAAAATGTACTGCGCATTACAGAGGCAATAACTCAATTTTTAACTAAACATCAATATGAAGGCCTCGCGATGAACCCGTTCACTCTAAAGATCTCATTAGTATTTCTCCTTACTTTTTGCTGCACAATTCTTAGGATGTTGGTTTGGAGAAATTGGTATTGGGTCAACTGATAATTCACTAATTGACATTTTCCTTTATTCTCATCTGTTGTTTGCTTGATATTCTATTGATGTCGCGTGTCGCGGTGTCTCATTGGAGTTGAAGTGTTAAGGAGTATTCTCATTACCATGTTCACGTCATTAAAATGTTAGGGCTCAACTTCAAAAGCAGCGAATAGCACATGTTTATCATATGGACCACAGCTTTTATTCAATTCAAATAGTTTAATTTCGCTAAAATACAATATTGATGATAGAGGTATAAACATCTAAATCTCAATTTTACCATTGAAGAGTAACATTTGTTGTAACTGACTTTGCTTAATAATATTCAATAAGAGAAACTTAGTTCATTTGGTCCATTTTACACCCCAGCTCGCGGGCCTGTAAGCAGATGCCTCTCCGATACTGCCGCTCACGTAGTGCCTAAAGATTTCATAAACAGGATTTTAAAATTTACCATCAAGTTTATTCGAAAAAACAAACATAAAAACAAGACCGTTAAACTCTGACAGATACTTGGAGTCAAATGAATCAAAAGCACTGTGACTTGCCCCTTCAATTAAAATATTGAAAGACTTAGCTGACATCAACAAGGCAAACCGAACAGATAAATTAAAAACCTGCACTAACCTCCTCCAAGCGTCTGCGGATGTTCGTCCTTAACATTTCTAAATTTTCAGCCCCTCCTTCATCCCTAAAATTTTTCAGACGCCGTTCCTAGAAGAGTTTAAAACGGCTTTCAGTAAGAAAAATTCAGCTGGAGAAGTAACTGAATACTCCGAGTGAGTACACCGATTAACCACTTTTGCAAACAGTAAAAGCTGAACCTCCTGAATCATTTATGAATGAATTAAAAAAAACACATACAATCGAAAGATTCGAGCTTATTCTGACATGACTGAATTTAGAGGTACGGTGATTCTATGCTCTCTGATATGTGATCCTAACTGGGAATTTTCCTCAGTTTGAAAAGAAAAAAAAAAGGCCCACTCCCAATCAAACCACTTGGATAATTCAACTGACATGAATAAGGAAAACTGTTTAGAAACCTTTTTGTGGAGAAAAAATGAAACATTTTAGATGGATCAAAAAGGGAAAGATATTAGTACTAATTCTTGTATTTCTGTTACCTGGCACCTCCCCTTCACCACACATATTTTACCAGGCACTATGCCCTCGACCAACGATGAAGAAAGGAAAAGTGCAAAAAAACAAAGGGCTGTAGTTTTCATTTTGCTAACACGAGCTTCAGTGCATGAAAAATTCTGGTATATATATAGGTGCAGTAGACAACCCAAGATGTGTGCAGCTGTAGTAAAGCGCTTTTTCAGCTCAGCTCAGAAAAAACTAATTATTTCCTCAGTCTCACGCCTCAGAAAAACGCATTAGTCAAAATGTGCCACAATTTTTTGATAACGGGATTTAAATCGAATTGTTCGGTATGCCTTATTGCTGGACGTCAGTTAACTTATCCAAAAAATGTACAGACTATTTTCTTCGCTGCGTAGACTGAAGTAAATACTTTTTAAAGGCAAATATGAGAAAATAAACTTAGACCAATCAAGAGTTACGCATCGAACAAGTAAGGTCTTCAATGAAACAACAGTTGGGGTCCACCCAAGCTGGCCGGCTGGATCATTATAATCTCTTGTTTACCTGTATTTTACTATGAAACTTGAAGTGAAAAAAAATATGTTTCAGAGGCGGTGGTGCGTTTTGAGACACGGGGGAAGGGGGGGGGGGGAGGAGAGTGGGAGGCTTACCTTTCACCCACCCATGCCCATACCCCTTCTCAAATTTTCCAAATTGACTTTTGCATTGCTCGCTGGAAAAAGCAAACCTCTTTGCAATCTTAATAGTGTCCGTAATTGAGTTTTGACTTACTTTTATTTTTTCCGGAACACTCTAAAATCTTCCAGTTTCACCTTCAATTGGGCCCCTAAAGCATTAGTGATTGTGCTCCTTATATATTTTGCTTTGTTTACGCCAGTCTGTGCTATGATCGCTTTTGCTGCCTTGCTGTCCTTCTTTGTATTGACAAGATTTTTCTGGTTCTCCTGTTCATCTGATTCCGTCCCCTCCTCTGCTCTCCTCTTTCGCCAATATCTCGACCAGACACGCCGCTTGTGTGGGCTCCAGGTGGTGTATCGGCATAATGATACTGCGTTAAATTTCAGTGAAAACTCATGCTCCAAGTTGCAGTAAAAAATGATAAAGTGAGACGCTAAATAAAGCATTATATGTAGACTGATTTTATTCGTCGTGGTTAGAGGGCCCTGGCTATAAATTAAAATAAAGAATATTTAATCGTTTGCCTCGCAATGTAGAGTTCGTATAACGGAAGCTTTAACCTGTTGATCTGTAATTGATAGCTGACACTTTCATGAAAAAGAGACTCTGCGTCGCGGAAGAAACGAGTCAATTGTAATTAATCAAAATGTGTATATCCGGACAGTTTTCCACATTAGCGTATCCAGGTGCTAGCAGCAGAATGTCGAGTGGCGGTTTTTCTTCTATTTCTAGGTAGTTAAGACACAACCTTTTATCCTCGTGCTCACATTAGATTTCAACACTTCTTAGGGTAATCGAGTTCTTGCTTTATTTAATTCTTTTTTCACTTCTCTAGAGATAGCACAAAAGGAATTAATCACCATCATAATAATATTTATTCAAAATTTTTTTATTTTCCTTTGTCGGTGAATGTAGACAGTTACTTTGAATAAGCTTCTTTGAGAAGTCCCTCGTAAAAATATTGAACGATAACTCATGCTCCAACCAAATACATTCGGCCGTGGTATAGAATCGTTTGAGATAGCTGAACACTGTTTATTTCATTAAGTGTAATTCCCATCTAAAATCTTTTTGATAATTTCTAAAGTCAAGGTGTTTTCATTTGTACAAGAGGAGGATAGAACTCCATTGAAAGATGCCAACTCGAACTGCGCCTATTTAAATGAAAGCCGTTCAGAGTTGAAGTTTGTTCCCAAAAAAAAAAAACAACAACTGGTAGTACTTATTATCGTGCAAAGCAGTCGATTTTGCTGAGTAAAAAAAAAAATGATAAAATCAAAATGAAAAAGGGAAGAAAGAATAACAAGATATTTAATGCTCAGTAAATTATTCATGTGATGGGTGAAAATTATGACATACACGATCTATCCACACCATATTATTTTTGTTAACATTTCAGAGTTAAAATGTAAGTGAGCGTAAGGGAAAAAAGTGAGGGAATCAACACGGGTGGATTGACTCCATCGGGAACTCGCACTTTCACATTAGCAGGAAAGATTAATTTTATCTATCTGAGGATCTATATTTTCCATAAAACTTAACTGTTATGGAAAACAATCACTCCTTTGAAGTGGTATTAAAAGTTAATGTCCTAGTGATATAACAAGAAATGCCAGAATGAAACTGCACGGTTCGCTTCCGCGCTTGACTTAAAAGATAACGGCGGCTTTTTTCACTAAACATCATCTCTAAGTTTAAATAAAGTTTGATTATTTTGGAAGTTCCCTTCTACAGCAGGAGCCTAAGCTTAGAAGATAAAGCAAAATGAAAAAAAGGCCCGACAGCTGTGTTTCGAAGAAGGTATCCAACAGCATTCCTGCTGATCTTCAACCAAGTCGGTCACGAGAAGCATCGAAACGAACCCAAAATTGTTCCGTAACCCTTAATTTTGATCGAAAGAGAAGAAAAATCTTTTTTAAGCGCGACGCCTTTAAATTACCCCCGTATAATGTCAGCAACAATATTCTTTGACAATAGCTTAAGATAACTTGAAATATACGGAAGTGTGCAGGTGGGTATCTAAAACCCTTCTCGGTTTTATCTTTTGGGCAATCAAGTTTGTAAGTTTTCATTTGTACTTAGAAAATTTCGTCAGCGGTGTTGTTAGTATAAAAGGCATGGGCGGCGGAGCCGGGTTGTTTTCTCATTTTTGCCTTCGCAAAATATTTATTTCAGTCTACTCAGTTCAAGCAGCGATAAAAATATTTTGCACTTTTCTGGATAATTTAACTGACGTCCGGCAAAAAGGCAAACTGGACAAATTGATTTAAAATCCTGTTATCAAAATACTGTCAGTTGTACATTTTGACTGACTCGTTTTCGTGATGCACGATGACTGACTGAGGAAGAAATTAATTTTTTCCGCGCTGCGCAAAAAACACGCTTCACTACAGCTGCAGCCATCTTGGGTTGTCTATTGCACCTTTGTATACCAGAATTTTTCATGCACTGAAGTTTGCTTAAGCAAGATGAAGACTATAGCGCTTTGTATTTTTGCACTGTTTCTTTGTTCGTTGCTAGTCGAGGGCGGCATGAAATTTAACCTCTGTCCGGAGTGTGGCTGCACGGTAGCAAGAGGACACCAATAAGCTTAGAAATGTTTTTACCCTTTTATCCACTCAAAATGTTTCATATATAGTTTTTTTTTTTATGTGCGGTTTTCAATTTTTTCAGTTTGCATTCTTGATTTCATTTAAATCATTCAAGGGGCTTGATTAGAAATCAGTGACAATTTTTTTCCTTTCAAACGGAGAATGTCCGGTAAGGATCACATGCCAGTGAGCTTAGAAATACCTCAACCATTTAGTCATGTCAAAATGAGCTGGAATCTTGAATGATCCAAGTGGTCCAGTTTTTACATTTACATTGTCGTTAATCGGTCTATTCACTCGAAATATTCATTTATTTCTCGAACTGAATTTTTCTTACTAAAAGCCGTTTTAAATTCTATAAGGAACCTACTCCCAAGTTTAGAGACGAAGGAGTGGCTGATAATTTAGAAATGTTAAGGACGAAAATCCGCAGATGCTTGGAGGAGGTTAGAGCAGGTTTTTAATTTATCTGTTCGGTTTGCCCTGTTGATATTAGTTAAGTTATTCAGTGTTTAATTGAAGGAGAAAGTCACGGTACTTTAATTTTCATTCTTTCAACTATCTGTCAGAGCTTGGCGGTCTTGTTTTTATGTTTATTTTTTCGAATAAAGTTGATGGTAAATTTTAAAATCATGTTTACGAAACCTTTAGGCACAACGTGAGCGGCAGTACGGGATAGGCATCTGTTTACAGGCCCGCTAGCTGGGATGTAAAATGGACCAACGGAAATAAGTTTCCCCAAATGGAAGATTCACTAAGCTAACTCAAAGTTACTGCAAAATGTTATTCTTAAATGATGAAATTGAGATGTAGATGTCTTTTTATATAACGCTATCATCACTATTGTATTTTAATGAAATTAAACTGTTTGAATAAAGGCTGTGGTCCATATGATAAACATGTGCTATTCGCTACTTTTGAAGTTGAGCCCAAACATTTCAGGTGGACATGGTGGTGAAAAAATTCTTTCAACTCCCATGAGTGACCGCGACACGCGACATCAATATAATTAATATCAAGCGAACAGCGGATTATCAGTTGACCCAATACCAATTTCTCCAAACTAACATCCTAAGAACTGCACCGAAGATAGTAAGGAGAATTACTAATGAGATCTTTAGAGTGAACGGGTTCATCTCGAGGCCTTTATATTGATGTTTAGTAAAAAATTGAGTTATTGTCCCTGTAATGCGCACTACATTTTATTCAAAATTTACAATTGGTGGTTATTTTTAAGAATCCTAGAAGACCAACACATCCCTATCAGTTTTAGCTATATAGCTAGAGTTCTTCAGAATGTTATTAGGCTGGAGTTAGCTCAAAATTTATTATATAATTTCTTTCCCAGCAGCCGGTAGTTTTCTTGCATGCTCAAATGTGACAGTTTCAGTAGCTGTCGGCCATCTTTGTCAGCTTGCGAGGACTGATGGCTGGCATGTATCAGAGCTGTCAACATCTAACCATGCATAAAGGAGAAGTCATCACCTGTTACACGAATTTCACACGAATCGATACCATCGAACGAACGATATCGCACGAGTCTCGTTCCAAATGGCAACACGTCCCGGCAATCAGCCGCTTTTGGTGTATGTTAAGTTAGTGCCCGCTTGCTGGTGCCCTACAATTTGTGCGTGTTGGCCATTTTTTTATTTGAACAGAGGACAGGTCTGCTTAGATAAATACCTCCTCCTAAAGTTTTTAATCCTATCTTTCTATGCTTCCAACCTCTCAGCCAGTGGTATAAAAATGAAAAACATGCACCAGTCTGCTAAAGCCCAGCAACCTCCTCTCGTTGAGAGGACGGGTGGAAAAGCGCCCTGGGTACGAGGTCGAAAGGCCCGCCGTTAGAATTTGGACAAAGCGTCGAAAAAGCTGTGCGAGTGCAGGACCGAGTGGCTTTTCCAGACTGGCTCACGTCAACCGGTGTCCAGCTTTACACGCATTAGCTTTCATGATGGTTTTCTTTAGTATCGTGCTGATCGAGTGAAGGGACATCGGCAAAAAAAGAAAGAAAAAATTAAAAAATTAAGTCCTCGCGGAGGCATTAACTCGAAAGACGAACAAGAATGAGCCGTTTCCGCTGCAACCGTTATTTTCTCATTTTTCCCTTGCAGATTAATTTTAATCGAGCGACTAAGCGTCACTAAGCATTCGCAATAATATTGCTGGCCCTTTTCTTGTTCGTCTTTGTGCGGTAGACTGCATATGGGTTGACACGCTTCCTACTTCATTTAATCTTTGCAGATAAAATGAAGAAAAAAATCTAACGGCTTGCTTTATCGTGTAAAATCTGGCCCGGAAAAAAATACATCACTCAGTTCGATGGTCCTTTCTAAATGGTAATGGTAATTGATTTCTGAGACGAAGAGTTTACGAAATCCCATTAAACATTTTATTTTCACAACATCAAAAAAAAAAAAAAAAATGCATTGAAAGTTAACAAATTGATCTCTTTTGGACTTATTAAAACTTATTTCTAATAAAATTATCTGTTTAAAGATTGCCAAAAATATACGCTGGGATACAACTACGAAACGACACTCATTCTTTGAGAGCGTGTTTATGATTGTTAAGTTCTTTAAACGGGTGAAATATTTACGTCTTCTCCGCTAAGAGTTTTAGCTATTTGGCTTGTTTCTTGCTTGCCAGTGGCGTGAACTGTTGTTGTAGTAATGTCACTTATCTTAGCACGTGTCCTGAGATAAAGAAATTTGTAGAAGGCTCTTTTGAACTGAGGAAGCCTCCATGCGTATAGATAAGGGTTAATACTAGAATTACACAACACAGTTAAGAGTTGTAAATCCCGCAACCAGTGGATCAACACACAGCTACAACCAGAGCAAAAATTTAACACATGAATCATAGCACAGACTGGCGTAAACGAAGCAAAAAATATAAGAAGCACAATCACTAATGCTTAGGTTGCCTTGCTGTCCTTCTTTGTGTTGACAAGATTTTTCTGGTTCTCCTGTTCATCAGATTCCGTCCCCTCCTCTGCTCTCCTCTTTCGCCAATATCTCGATCCCTGTTGTAGTATATTAAGTATTATTAAAAACTAGATCATCGGATAATGCAATTCAAGACTTTCAAAACTCCAGCGCTGCCACCTAAACACCTAAATGGTATGGATGTTGCAATAGCCCACTTGGAGGTAACCATTGTTTTTGTACTTCACTGGCGACGATATGGCCATATATCTATCCACAGTAAGTGCCATGAGTGTTAAAATAGACGCCGTGCATAAGATGAAGTATAGAATGCGCGCGATTTTGCTATTTAAGAAGTCAAGTTGAAGCGCTTCGCTGGTTTCAAAAGCAACTGAAACGGGATCCATAATCGTTCCCACAACCAAATCTGTCGCCGCCAGACGCATCAGGAAATAGTTAAATGGTGTTTTCAAGTTTCTGAAAGGATCATTTATGATGGCCAATCAGACGAGAAAGTTTCCAGGAATGGTTAAAATTGTAAGGAAAACTGAAAAGGACGCTGTGAAATATGAGAGAGAGCTCTTGTAGGATCAACGTTTGAACACATACTTGACGCCGATGCTAAAGCCATCTCCCTGACTCTCCGATTTACTCCCGAAGGCGCTGAAACCTGGTCAACTGTGCGCAAATATTACACTTGTTAAGCTTTGACTTAACATAGGGCTGTATAGGTGTTGTCTGTTGTCTTATAGGAAGTCACTACTCCGTTTTGCTCTTTGGAATAAACTGGAACTCCTTGCAAAGCTGAACACTGCTGCCATGTGTTATTTCCATAGATAAGCTTTTTGTGGATACGAACTGTCAACTTGCAAGAAGCTCAGTTTAATTGCAAACACGATAGATAAAGAATTAACTTCATGAAAAGATACCAGTGAGAACTTCTACATCTACATTTATTACATCTACATTTGTTAGTCTTGCAAAGGGGGCCCATCACGCAAGACATAAAATAACAATAATAATTAACAAAATGAGATTAAAAAATGTAAAGATAAATAATATATATATATATATATTTTTATATATATATATATATACATATGTTAAAGGTTAAATTCCTCTAATTGTATCTTTAAAATTAATTAATTTATCAATTCCTAAAACACTATTTGGTAAGCAGTTCCAGTCTTTCATTGTTCTACAATAAAATGAATTCTTATACGTTTCAGTGTTCGGTTTTATTTCTATGAATTTATCCTTATGATATGATCTTAATTGACGGTTTTGCTCTTGATATAAAATGGGAGTTCCATCTGGACTTCGCCATGGAGAATCTTGTAGAACATGGTTAAACGTGCAGACTTTCTTCTTTTCTGTAATGGAGGCCAGTCCAAATCATTTAGAAGATTTGATACAGTCCCTGGTTTACGCTCCCAACAATTTTTCACAAAACGTGCAGATCTCCTTTGAACAGCTTCAATTTGATTTACGCGTTTGTCCTTCCAGAGGTCCCAGACTGTGCTTGCATATTCGAGATGCGGTCGAAATAAGGATTTATGTGACAGTTCTTTGATAGATTCAGGACATTTTCCAAGATTCCTTTTTAAAAAACCCAAAGTTCTGTTTGCCTTAATAGTCTTCGTATCAATATGATGACTCCAGTCTGGTGAACTTGACAATTCCACCCCAAGGTATGGATAGTGTGACGCAGACTCCAAAGTATGACCCATTAGCTTGTAATCGAAAATTATTGGATGAGATTTCCTGGTAACTCTCATAACAAAACATTTGTTGGGGTTAAATTGCATGAGCCATTTTTTGCCCATTGTTCAATTGTAGAAAGATTAAGTTGGAGTTGACTAGCGTCCAGAGTCGACTCAATGAGACACCGCGGAAATACGTTTTTTAAGGCAAGATACAGTATTTTATTGGTCAGCGGACACCTCAACGAAACCATAAAATGTCATTAACTTTTACCATGTTTTCGCCGTGAGTTAAATCGACAGCGTAAAAAGGCTAAACTTAGAAAGAATACTGTAAACTTAGCTTTGAAACTCCGTTCACCGTTTGGATAGTTCTCAAGCTCAATTATATAATTTGCCAAAGCCGAACTGAAGTTGCACACGATATGAAATTGTTGTTTTTCGCTGGCGGCTCTGTGGCGACTAAGTTTTGTTTATAGAAGAGCATAAGCACTAAGACTAAAAATGAGACGGTTTTTGAATGGCTGAAGCCTTGATCCGAGGACGCTGCACCATCAGGTTTGTAAAGCAGTGGCTTGAACCGTATAAATCGGCATGTCAACGGCATTCCGGTCAGATTCGCCAAGAAGACAAAACATGCCCGTGTAGCACGGACACCCTATCCCCATTCGTTTTTGTATGTATCATAGTTGGCCAAAAACCTATGACTGTAACATGTATAGGACTGAAGCCCCCAAAAATACAAAAATTGGCTCAACTAGAGGAAGGATAAACCGAGGTATGTTGAAGTACAAAATGTCCATTGTAATGGTAATAAATTAAGTTTTCACTTTCCACCTTAGTTTGTAATTTTTTTTTATTCTAAGCTGTATTTTTTTTTCTGAGCAATAATTTTACTTTCCTAACAAGTATTTGTTTCCCATCACAATTATGAATAATTTGTAATATGTCTTTTTTTATGCCGCTCTTCCCTCACTAATCATTTTATTTCTTTCTTTTTGCTTTTTCTTTTCTTTCTTTACTAACTTACTGCCATCTGCAACATAAATTGTAGTAAGCTAACAGAATACTTCTGGTTTATATAGCTCCCTGATTCACAAAGTAACATTACCATCTTGGTACTACTAGAAAACAAATTTTTAAAAAAACAAATGTTTAAAAAACAAAAGTACTGTAAGGGAAAATAATTATAATAATATAATTTAATCGATTTATGTGAATAAAGCACTGTATTGTCTTTTCTCATATTGCAACAGCCTTGAATGAATCA